AAATAACGAAGGCGACCTCAATAAAATCACGACAAGACACAATGGTACATGTCCAAGATTAAATTGAAATATAACCACATGACCCCTCAGACACAGTGCAAGCGTCAACAACTAGTACGAGGTTGTGACAGTAACGGTACCAGACATCCTGTGTGGAGTTTGCATGTGTCATGAATGTATGCATTTCTATTTGTGATACTGCAAATAATACCAGGAAATTTCTCATCAAAAGCACACATAACACTTACCATACTGAGATGTTCAGATTTATCAATTTATTTGGAAACGTAGCATGCCTTTTTGGTATGCCATAATTTATGTGAGAATCCGCTCTTCGATATTGGATTTCGTTTTAACAGGGAGTTAAAAAAAGTCTGTTTCACCCCAAAATCTGAAAATCTCTGGTGGGGTTTTTCCTCTTTGTCAATATTTTTAATGCGAAATATTCTGCATTTCGTAACATAAACGCTAATTTTACCATGTACCAGCAAACGGATGACGCGTGGTTGTCGAGACCTGGGGCATCGTAGACCACATGGTGCATTGTACAATGTATCGCATTGAGTTGGCACGTGCAAGCATATGCACTTATTTTGACCCTAAAATGAAAATGTGCTCTGTACCAGTCGAGTTGAGTAGTTGGAGATGGTAATCAAAATGAAATTAATAACCAAATATTAATCAAATTAATCACTTATGCTTCAGTTGCATAGATGACGTCAAATTTAGAAAATGAAAATTTCAAAGATTTAAATAACAAAAACAGTGACGTGACGAAAATCAATCTTCTGCAAAATCACGGTTTCAAAATTTGGTTCGTTGGTACCCGTTATTTACTTTATACACTGATACGCCTACTCGTCCGAAATATCCAAGACGCCGATGTTGGGAACGAAGCAACCAGCTTATTGCGTTCCATATAGCTACAGATTTAAAGGACTATTTTTTCTAATGTATTCAACTACAGCAACACCAAGCATCCAGATGGTATTTCGTCAGATGTTTCGATTGTTATGTCCCATGTGTTTACTAAGTGTGGCTTAATTTCGATAAATTCTTCTCATTAGCCAGTCTGCTCTCTGCCAAGTACAAGTTTTTACCGAGTACATGTCTATTCCTTTTCTGTACAACTGCAGTTATAAACATGAACCTGTTTATGATGTTACCAAGTGTTTCTTAGACGAAACAGCATCTGTTTAGGAATTTTGTGACCGGCTTTTCTACAACAATGCATTTTGGCACATCATCGTATCTGCAAGGTGCATTTTGCATACAACTCATCTTCAAAAGACTGTGCCCATATTTGGTAACTTTATTCATTCTTGTTATGTTATACCAACATGTGTGTCCGTCAAGCTCTTTGTTTGTCGAAGCTGTAGTTACGGAGGCTTAAGAGGCAATTTCTTTGCTTTAATAGATTATCAAGGAAACTGAGATATTGCACACCTTTTGATGTACGATATCGGGAAATGTGTCGTACCAAGATGGAATACAGAAAAAGACACCTTTTCACGATAGAGCATTACAAAACACGTATACAATGGCTCAATGGTTTTAATGGTGAACGTTGCAATATGTCACCGTTAACCTCAACAATTGCAATGTGGACGTTCACCTCACAATGCTAATGATGTAATTTGCTCATTGCCGTTATGTGAAACTTGATCCTTTTGGATGTAAATGATCCATCTTGCTTGTGCAACATTTCAGTCATGTCAACGGTGATCATGAATCACGCTTAAGGACAATGCTCGATTCTGCTGTAGTTTGAACCACTAAGGCAGCTCAGCAGCGTTGTTAGACCTTGCATCTACTTGTCGCTAATGATAAACCCTGCTCGATTGCAAGGGAAAACCCATTTTGGGGGAATTACGAGATTGTGTACGTAACCCAGTGGCGTAAATTGTGCTGGAAATTGGGGGATGGAGGATGGGGAATTTTTTAGGGGGGGGGGAGCGTGCCCGGCCATGGAAAGCGGGGAGGGGAGTGCCATCACATGACACTGTATCGGAGGCAATGTTCATGATACAGGTGTACATCTGTAATGTATTACATTCACGCAGAATCTCACATCAGAACGGCATATTAAAAACTATTCTCCCTTTTTGAGTGATATTAAATACATTTTGGTCATAGGCAAGTCCAACAAATTCTTCGCAATCCACTTGAATTTCTCCTCACCACAAAAAAGGGGGTTGATGATTCAATTGCCCCCCTCCGGTCCAAATGTGTGGGGTGGGGGTATATACCACCCGATTCGACTACCCACCGCTACTTATAAGTAGGGCTTGCATTCCAAATACGCCATGCTATAAGCATGTTGGTATCATAGGATCGTAGCAGGGCTGCGTTCGCCACACTTGTAAGCAGGGCATGAAAAGCGCCCTCACTTGCCACACGACAGACAGCCACTACTGCGGTGCTTAAGCTAAAATTGGTCTAGCTTTAATACAAGCCATGCTACGATCCTATGATACCAACCTACTAATAGCATGGCGTATTTGGTGTGCAATCCTACTTATAAGTAGCGGTGAGTAGTCGGATCGGGTGCATACACCCCCTATCCCCCGAGATCTGCGCCCTTTTAAAGCTGTCTGAGATACGGGAATAATTTTGGTGTTTTGATGTATGAAAACACCAAAATTATCGTATTACCATACTGGAAGGAAAATGAAACAGACGGACAGAAAAAAATCTCTCTCGCATTTTTTTTCAAAAATATTCGTTTGTGATATTAATGATGTGCACTGTACATTTTGAGACGTAGGCCTACTGTCCTCGTACACCATAGCTGAGTAAAGCCAGGCTGTGGCATCTCCAGACTTGCTGTTATTAAAAACCGGACCTTTCAGATATTCAAGTTTTATCTCATTACTGTGTATCTCGCTAGAACTCCCTACCTGCAAACCGCTTCGCTTCCAACTCTTAACCTTTTACATTTTAAACCTCAGGCTGTGGGTAAAAGCATTCGAGAGCCCATAAAGCATTACAACCTTTGATTGGATTAGCCTGCCTTTTATTTCTCCTTTTTTGAGCAGGTGGTTCTTGTCTGATCATTACAAGTATCTGTCGTAATGCGGAATGCTGCTTTTTCATAGAGTTTTTACCTTTGTCGTGGTTTCACTAGCACTGATCACTAGCGTCTGTCCGAGAGCCCGTGAGTGAAATTCACGAGGGAACTATGATGGGCCTTGAACCTACGACATCAGTGAAGACGTTTCATTTGGGAACTTTATTTAAAAAAAAAATCGCAAGCAGTCCGAGGTTGTAGGTTAGAATTCAACATAAGGGGGCTTGTGATTTTTTCTGGTGTCCTTTGACAATGTCAACATTGAGAAACACATTTACCTTGGAGTTTATATGTCACTGTCTTGAGAGCATTTCATCGTTAAACAATGAAACTTCACCACCTAAATACACAAAGAAAATATTTCAATCAATCAAGTAACTTTATCGTCCCATATAAACTTTCATTTGATGATAAGGCTGATCCCGGATCAGCTAAGCTAACTTTTACACAATAAACCTGTAATGATTTCATCTTTTTGAATTACTTAATAGACTCTATAATAAAGTGTTATTATTATTATTGTTATTATCTTATTTACCCTGATACCCATTCAGTACAAAAACTGACCCTCAATGGATCCCAGCAAGTACAATAGTTAAAAATTATAAAATACACTGAAAGTGACTAATAGAAATACGAAATAATACGAAAATAATTAAAATAATAATAAATGTTAAAAAAATAAGCAGAAACAGAAGTGTGTGTTACAGCTACAAAATACATACGTTGAAATTTATGACCCCAAATTCGAACCACTACACAAACAAGCGATGCCTACAGACGGTGCACTCAACTGATATATATGTAAATTAAGAATGGTTAAAATGAGAAAAAATGTACTTGAATTAAGCCATCTCAAACGCGAGGTAGGCCTATAGTTATTTTGTGTTTTTAACAAACAGTTGGCAAATTTTTATGTCTTCATATCACATTAACCTAAGGCCTGATTGGTTATATCAAAATAGAGAAACACAGAAACGAACTTGATTCATGACGAATCCTATCTGCAGCCAACAGATTATGTATAGAACACTCTCATTTTGCCACAACTTGTATGGGCGACCAAAGTTTACAGAAATACATATATCACCTTTCGGTTGGTTGTCAATTTTACCCCAAATTCGTTCAAAACGGACAAGTAGGGCCTATCTCATTAGATCTAAATAGAGTTGTATTTTGATTTAGTATTTAGGGGTTCTGACAGCTGCATGGGATTTTTAACACTTTGTAAATAGTTTAAGTAGCCACTGGAAGGAAAACATGAATATGACGTCAAAAGAACAGATCCTATTCATGTTTCCTCTTAAAGTGGAATCTCGGGGGGTCGCACTGCCAACCATGCTGCAATCTTGGGGTTGGCTGCAATACGGCCCTTGAGGGCGTCCAGCTTGGGATGGTTCTCCAAGGAATTGGCGCCCTTTGACATATGATCGACGAGATCAACAGCGGTGAAGAAAAAGAGATCAGCAGCCGTGATCTAAAATAACAAAACGCATTAGTTTTTCAATAGATTACACGCAGAAAATTTAACAGGTGGTGTAAAATTTTACACTGCAATATGTTTTGTGAAATTAGTAGTGACCATATTTAATTAGCCTATTTTTAATTAGTTTGTTCATTCTCGTGTGGGACCTGAACAAAACTTCCAAAGCTTCACAAAGAAACTTTAAAATTGAACCAAATAAATAAAGATGAGGCCTGCTCATCTTCCGAATCCCCAAGGAGTCAAAGGGGCCTTGTTTGATCATACCAGTGTTAGATTGGCGGCAACAGCAAAGAACCAATGCGCTTGATCAGAAAAAAAAAGATGAGTTATTGGGATATCACTCCAGAGACGTCACTGAAACAGCACTTCATGGCTCCAGAGACATGCCAAAATCGATTCGAGCCACAATGAAAAAATTCTAAAGTGCGTGCCTTGAAGGCGGTGATAACTCGATTGAGTCGATCCTGAGGTGGCCATTCCTTTCATCAAAGTCATAGAGGTAAACTAGCAATTTCAGAATCAGGAATTAAAGCCCTTAACTCACTCACTTCGGCACGTGTGGAAAGCCACAGGGACATGGTCCACCCATATCGTCGGTGCAGTACTTTCAAAGAGGTCAAAGGTCACGTGGTTGTGTGGAAAGAGTATTTGGTCTGTAAAAACTGGTGAGAGCGCCCCTCCAGGCTGCAGCAAAACGCAAGTTGATTCTCACCTCCGAGGGACTTGTATAATCTCTATTATACCACAGGAAAGCATGTGATCGATACTGTGTTTGAATGGTCTTCCGACGCATAAAAACTGATTCTGTTATTTATTTTGTATGAGATAGTGTCTTGATAATTATGATGAAGATTGGTTAATAAAAAGTCAAATTTTCGGTTTGCGCACGGTACGCCCTGGCTCGAATCTCCCGCATAAGTGTACATATTTCGGCAGTATATAGGCATATCTTCCACATATTGCTGGTCATAACTGAACAGGTCAAAAGGTTTGTTTATAAACCAATTAATCGCCATAACTGCTTGACACACGCGTACATTTGCCAATCACGACTTCCTGTTGGTCGAAGAGGCATGTAACGCGCGCGTACCACCTGTCCACAAGCGTTGTGCCACCGCAATAATGGCTTCTAATTCTGGTTGTGGAATTATACTACAGAGAATTGCGAAAAAAACGGATGTTCACCTTTGTCATTCGGACCTCTAATATGTAGTGACTATTCCTAGTCCTCGAACATACATTAAATAAAGTGGAGTTATCCTAAAATAATTTTCATTTGCACAGCGACTAGTTGAATGGACAACTCCAGGGGATTCTTGATACATATTACGCAGAAAGAGCTGTTTAACAAACGTTAATGGATGCCCATTGCAGGCGACAAAGACGTCAGTGACTTCTGAAATCGGATCATATTAACCCAGAGTCAAAAGGTAAAACCTAGAGCAGACTGCAGAAGAAGTAGGATATGGTTACGTTTCTTTGAGGTTAGGACACTTCTGATCGAGGTCCTTCTTGTCGTTCTCCTGTGACGACCAGGCGTCAGGTGTCCCTGTTTACAGCTAGACATTCCAAGCCTTGGACGGGTATATTGCAGGCCTTCGTCGAAGACTTTAGACTGTCTCTTTGCAATGGCTGGCTCCGAGGGATCGAGGCCAGGTGCTGGCAGAAGCATCTCCACTGTTTTTCGCAGATTGATGGTATTCGAGGTCATACCATGCGGCTATACTGTGCGCGACAACGGCACAGTCATCTGCTAACAGGAAGTCTCTCCGATACTTTTGTCTTGGCCTTAAGACGCCTCCCATCAACATCCGTACTGGACGGTGATCCCTATGGGGGTCTTGAAAGTGTGGAGATCAGCATCCTGGCGAACCTGAGTCGAAGAGAGTAGGAGCCACAATGCAGCCCTGCCTGACACCTTTGGAGAATGAAGGACAGGTATTGATCTGTGTTCAATCACTTAGGCAATCATGACATCATGAAACGACTTGATGATGCTGACTTATTTTGGTGTGCTGCAAAGCTTGGAAGGGATGCGACGATCTCAAAGGCCAACTTGTCAGATCAAGAAAGGGGATGTAGAGGCTAAGCTGGTTCTGTTCCTGCTACTTTTCGTCTTCTCTAAGGCCATGTTCACTACACTATGGTTACTTTGGTATCCGCACAATCTCTCGGAGACCATATCATCCAGCAAGTGTATGCGATGCAGTTGAGGATGATGCAGGCTGTTACCCCCTTGGCATGCTCAGTAGTGAGATGCCTCGAAGATTGTCGCATACCGCCCTGCCCCATTTTTGGTGAATGTTGTTGGGATCCCTGAAGTTCTTGGGGCTATAGCCCACCTCCTGGAACAGCTCAACAGTTCTGCCAGTTTGTGACGATGATTTCAGATCTTTCTTGAAAGATTTTAAAGGGTATTCATATCCATTGGGTCGTGGTGCTTTCCTGACTGAAGCTTTTTGATGGCTTTCTGGGCATTTCCAGACTAGAGAGATCATGAGGGCATGTTGTGACCTGGTGCTGGGGCATGTCTTGAATTGCTCACTCTTTGGTCTGGTGAAGGCCTCTTCAGCAGCTAACTAATAATGATCAGACCATCGCCGTCAGATGTCCTCTTTTTTAAGTGACGTGTGTGCCGTCAGTAGAATGACCTGGTTTCATAATGGTCAGTTAGTCACAGGGCTAGGAATTGGTAGCTGCGCCTTGAACATGTGCTCGTCACTTCTGTGTGTTGCAACATGGCTGCCTTCGCCTATCACTATTGGTTCGTCACTGTTTACTGAGATCTGTCTGAACTTTGACTGTCGTTTCCAGAAGCATGTCGCTTCTGTATAAGGAGACTGAGGCTTATGGAGTTATTCTCATCGATCCTATACAATGTTTGTGCTTCCGTGATTGGTGACCCAAAATTATTTTCCCTGAGCTACAGTCTGTTATAATTTTGCCTATTTTGTAAAACTTTGTGAATCTTATTTTGTTATATTGTTTTACTGACTACCGGCCGTAGTTTTATCCATGGAAACCACAGCTGTGACGTAAAAATATCAGACCGTATAAACAGTGCCCGAGAAGCTGGCTTAAGCTTTTTCAGTGTTAGCATCGACTGGCAAGTTAACGAGCTGGTTACTTGGGCAGGTCACAAGGGCATCCCTTGTGTCCCGGGTCCACTAGCTGTCTAGCATATCTTCGTCTTTATTTACCAACCACGTCTGTGCTTGTGTGTGACGTGGAGAGAAAGCTCTCGCACTGTAGCCCTCTTTACTTTAGTGATGTACATATCCCGGATGTCACATTGCCTTGTGATCATAAAATCGATCAGATGTCGATGCTTGGACCTTCGACTTTTTTAGGTGAAAAAGGAGAGGAGCTGTTGATCAGCTGTTGGAGTTCTGTTCAATTCCACGATGTCCAATGTGGTTCCAGCCCACGCGCGTGTTTTAAAGTCGCCAAGTAGCAAGATTTCATCTTAAGCTGGAACTGAACATTCTACCTTGTCAACCGCTGAAACAGTTCCTTTTGCCATGATCGGTGCGTGCGCACTGATGATCAACATGGGTGTCTTTCCTCTCAAGGGCAAGGTTGACCATCAACTGGTCTTGTGTGCCACTTCGAGGCCAATTCCCAGCAAGTTCTGTACAAATTGCAAAGCCAACACCTGCTCTAACAGTATACGTACATGCACGTGAACGTAATACACGGTTTGAGCATAGGCTGCTTGTTGAAGCCATTCTGGTTGTTACTAGCACCTCCACCATAACATAAAGTATAAATCTTAATTAGGTTAATGAATAGGGTGAAGTCGGGATAGATTGTTATGAATAGAAATATAAGGAATGTAAGCAATTTCAACAAATGATGATGCGTAGCTGTCCTGTGTTTGCAGCAGTAACAAGTTGCCTACTTACGAAATAACCTCGTTGGCAAAGACCAGCGCGGAACACTCGAGGAAAAGTAAGTTAACGGGGACGTACTTAAACCCTTTCAGCCACAGAAGTGCCAGCTGGGCTCAAAGTGGCATGCGGTTTCTTTCCCAACGAGCCTTTGTGCCCCATGATTTCAATGCCACAACGTTATCAACGTTCCTCTTTGGAACACAGACCAAAATGCCACCAACGGGAATGTACATGTAAATAGCGCGCGCTCACCTGTTTGACATCGTCTCGAGCGCTCTGATTGGACGAGATAGCTTGAGGGTGCGCCAGGCGCGTTCTTACAAAAACCATAAGAGGCGAAATGGCCGGGGCTTCGGACATTGTCGACGACATTTTAGCAGATAGTGGCGCCGAAATATCCTCAGATGAAACTTCCTCCTTGTCCTCATCAGAAAAAGTGATGGTGAATTAGTGTCGACCTAATCCTTCACCACATTGAAGCCACCGGGCACCCCAAGCCGAACTTCAGGTAGACCTAACGCCTTAATTATCTTCGTACAGCATGTACTCAACCTTGCAACTAGACACCCTAGTCTGAGTCATTCATATCATTATCATTACAATGTATTGCATTTTGTAACCACCAGTAGGCTTGCCGTATTTTTCCCGATGTCCCGAATGTGTCACGAATCCTAATTGCTAGTGAAGGAAAAGGAAGGATTCCAATCTTTATTTTTTAAACCCTGAAATCTACTGTGCCGTATTAATGCAGAATAACATGGCATGGTTTCCCAGCAGAAATTAAAAGATCACCCTCAATTAACTAGCATATCGCGCAGAAAACATAACACGCCTTCTTTGGCAGAATGCCACTTTGAGAGTGAAAAAAGGTTTAGTTTATATACAGGCAGTGTGTGTGAATAGACATTTCAGCCAACCCAAATCAGGGAAGTCCCATCTATCACCTTTTCAACAAATAGCTGAATAAAACCTTCCCATTCTTGACATCCTACTTGACGATGTTGCCCTAATTCCTAGTTTTTTCTTGTACACTGCTTTGGTGTTTGGTGTAAAACACTTTGTAAATATTGTTCTTATTAGTCCTAATATTATTCTTCAATAATGCAGGACTGGATGGCAAGCAACCTCCACTTACAAAAAGCCACTACCTGTGAACTTCACGGAACCGACTGGGTGTAGCCAGAATTTCAGTCATCTGTCACCCCTACAGATATTTCAACTCTTCTTCTGTGAAGCAATTTGGCAATTGCTGGTGAGGGAGACTACAGAATCCGCTAACTCTCAGTTCACTTCGATTCCGACGGACGTTCCTGAAATGATGGCCTTTGTCGCACTGCTGCTCTCGGTGGGCATCAACAAAAGGCCTAGCTACACAATGTCCTGGTCCAGATGCGAAGTTCTTCGAAGTCCTTTGTATCCGTCGACAATGTCTCACAGCCGATTTATGGCACTCCTTCGATTTCTCCACCTTGCCGACAACACAGCAGACGACTCTCCCCGTGACAAACTGTCTAAAGTTCGTCCCCTACTTGACATAGTAGTTCCGTTGTTTCGTTGCATCTATAAGCCCGAACGAAACCTCTCACCGGGTAAGACTATGCCATAAAGTTTAATGGCCGACTCTGTTCTAAACAGTACATACCACGCAAGTAGGCCAAGTATGGCTTGAAATGTTTTTCCTTGAACGAGTCTCAAACCGGTTACACACGTTACTGGAAGGTGTTTATTGGATCCAAGGCCCATCAGACCAAATCATCTCGCACTCTGTTGCGTACGCTGAAGACACCATCCACCCAACCTTACAGCAATACGCCAAGTTGTCGTCGACCTACTGAAAGGACTGGAAAACAAGGGACATGTTGTTTTCATGGACAATTGGTACATTAGCCCCGTTCTTGTGCACAAGTGTCCCAGCTAGGGTTTGGATCTCGTGGAACTGTGCGCTATACCACACAAGGCATTCCAGACAGTGCAAACCCTAAGAAGGTCCCCATGAACCGACATGATCTACCCCAGTTATTCTTTATAAGCGGGGCAACTATGCGTTGTTTGGTAGGACGCCAAAAACGTGTAACAGTTCTGACTAATTATGGTTACTGCAAAAGTGACACGAAAGACATTCGTTGCAAAAAAAGTTCCACCGGACGTCGTACAATCCAAAGACCTGCCGTCGTCAATGATGGGCGGAAGTGACTTAGCATCACCATGTGTCAGTACTACACGCATCATCATAGATCCCTGAAATGGTGGAAACGCGTTTTCTTTGCAATTCTTGACATCTGTTTGGTTAATGCTACCATCGTGTACAACAGCATCCCTACAAAGCGTCTGCTCACTAGTTTGGATTTCCGGGTCCAGGTCACCGATGAACTATCCGCCTGCAGGACGAGCAACTCAACACCACATGCCCCTGAAACTGCACTCCTTTAAGGTGGACATTATCCCAGAAGAAGTAGGCAAGGCCATAACAAAAATGTGTTGTTTTCGGTACGAAAACTCAACGTTTAACAGACTCGTATGATTTGTAAGAATTGCCAGAAACCAATATGTCTAATGCCATGCCTTGAAACATTTCACAGTGTGTGTTAACATAGATTGAGGTAGTTTAGATTGTGTCCCCCTTTCGACCACCCCCTTTCCTCCCTCCAACCCCAATTCCTCCCTTCTCCCATCCCCCATTCCAAAGTTGCAGTGGATCGCCATGGGCACGCACCAGCCTTTAACGTAACTTAGGTGGTTTAGATTGTGCCGCCCCCCATCCAAGGTTTAATTCTCTGGAAACGGATAGAAATAGTGCAATTGCAAAAGGTACAACTAGGATAATTATAGGCATCAAGGATATGCTGCCCTTTTATCCGATCAGTCTTGCAAAATTTGCACCCGACATAACCACGTATTTAATCAGCAGATTTGTAAATAAAAACACAACAAAGATGAAAGGCCTTCACTACCAGAAAGTGCACACTTTTCCTAATATGTCATGTGTACACTTCTAACATACATTGTATTAAAAGTTAATCTCATTTTCTTTTCTTTTTCTTTCAGTACATACAGAATTTGACACAGAGTCTCGTTCTGATGAGGTATACATGCCTGCACTTGGAACAATGGTCACAACACAGAAATGTTTTGTGACTGTTCAATTGAATAGCTTATGACTTGAACCCAGCCTTGCTGGGCCTTGTGATGGTCTCGATATTGCTAGGAATTGTTATCTCCCAAACTTGTCACGTGAAATGGTCATGTTAGGAAACCGTGTTGGCAAAATACCCTAGTACAGGTTAGAGTTAGGCCCCATCATTCCAGTTTTTTATTCCTATACAACCTATTTATCATGAATGTTTCATAGTTAAAGTTAGGTTTTTCATTTTAGCCTCTATTCTGCAGAGGAATATATTATCTAAAACTTGCTGGTATGATCAATTACCGTCTTGCCGACGAAGAAATCCCCTGCAACCTCAAGACCGAGCAATCGCTCCAAGGCTTGGTAGACTTTGGGCACTGTTTCTGCCAAGAACTTTTCCACCTTTTCTGCCTAAAGTTCACACAAAAAAATACTCATTACGCGTTTCAATCACAAGCAATAATTGCTTGTAACTAATAATAAGTTCCCCTTTTCACTTAAACTCCAACAAATATTTGATACAGTGGTGAGAAAGAACCGTTGCGGGTTTCAAGTTATATTCCAACCTACCATCCGCCCAAATATTTATAAATAGTTAAAAATTTTAAAAACGGATAAGAAACGTTACAAAATGGGGGTTAATCCGCATGTACATGTAGTGTGTAAGGGACTGATGAAGGCCTTTATTACTCTGAGACTAATGAACAGCACTTTATCTCTAATGCAATATGATGTCCAGATCCCCCCTCCCACACACTTTCAAATTTTCACGGCCAGGCAGTTTTAGTATGTGGCATCCCAAACCTCCATCCTCTTCGCTGGCACAGATTTACGCAATTAACTGCTTAATCGCTCCAAGACAGTCTAGGTTTAGAACCTACCTTGCTTCCCAAAGGTGCAGTGAAAATGGCGTTAAATGGTGCCCAAATGTCTTCCACCATATCGATGGCCTGATCTATGAATGCAGTCTCTATGTTCGTCTTACCGTAAAGCCCTAAAACCAAACGACATAGGGGAAATTATGCTGAAACATACTGCAGCTCCAGTGTTCTTTAGATTCACGCCCTCGCAAAAACACCAAACCGTGGTTTGGTAGTTCTGACGTCAGCGTCTGCGTAACTGTGCCAAGCGCTATCGTGCCCAGAAATGAGCAAAATACAGTTGACTTCCATAAATTTAAACCCTTTTTCCCATGGTAATTACATTTCTTTCCATTCTTACATTAATTTTAACCAGTCCTCTTGTACCACAGGTTGCTGCACCTTTTTACTTTTGGTTGAATTTATACGATTTACTCATTATGTGAAAAAATTAATTGAATTGCTGCATAATGCGGTTTGGGCGTATAATGTTCTGAAATGACATTATCTAACTCGTATGGTGTCCCCCACTCTGTGCAGATATTAATAGATCGAGTGGAATCCAAACGGTTATATCAAAAGGCCTAGGTTCCTCTTCAGAGCACATTAAATGCCGAGGGCAGACAAAAAATAATTTGGTGTCGGCGTCGGTCGGCCGGCAGAGGGCGCCAACACGGAGGCAAGGCGAAGCTGAACAGTGGCAACCTTGTTCCCATGGAGATATATATATGCAATCATACGTGTGAAGCCGAACCACGGTGGTTGTGTTTGTATTGCGCATGTCCAATGTGTATAACACTCGCGTGGCAGCCGTTTTTAAGGAAAATAAAGCCCGAATGTTACAGGAGCCTAATTTACTCGTGAAGTTTTTATAGTTGGTTGAGCACTAGATGTCATGCATTGTGCATGGGAACCGCCGTTTGGCTTCATACGTGATTGCATATATAGCTCTTCCCATGGGTGCGATCTTGACACGCCATGTTTGTTCCCGCAATGCCTTGCGCGAACTTAGCCTCTATAATTTCAACAAGCGGGATGCCGCGCTTCGAGCGGCACCCGCTAGATGGGTTGAGGCATGGTTGAGCTGAGACGTCACTGTCATGTGCCAACAAAGTAAATGTAATAAGTACTATATTTTGCGATTACACCACAAAATCCGGATTTGGACAATTTTCACACTGATGATACTCAAATAAAGAGACCCAACTTCGCGTGTGGAGTGTCTCATTGAAATGTAGACAAATATAGCATTTTAGAAATAGGAAGCAGTATGACAGCAACTCATGCCTTCTTTTGGGATAGCTGTGCCAGGCTACTCAAGTTTGATGGGAGTAAAGTCTGCTGGTTCGACTCAGGATAGGGACGATGTATTGAGCTGAATATAAATAGAACCAACGTTTCGACACATTTGCGTCCACTCCCCCGTTTCAACAGTAAAAGCAGGACTCCGTGTACAAAACAAAACAAAACAAACACAAAAAAACAGGTTAAGTTAATTATTACATTTATTAGTTTCGAGTGGGTTATTTAATAAGAAAATGGTCTGTTAATTCGAGAAATGTCATTCTTGCATTAGAAATGTTTTTGACTAAATGCGTACCATACAGCATCACATTACCCTCCTGAAACGCAGCGCGCCGCCATTGCACTGCCGCACATTTTGTACACACACAATGGGCGATGACCTAATCAGTCTAATGAAGATCAATGGTTGCACTACACCAAATACGCGCCCATAGAGAGCAGTGCAAAATCAGACCAAAATAGCGCCGCGTTTTTCGCTGGAAATTCAAGACTATGACAAGAAGATCGTTTCAATTTTATGGGGGTTGGCCACGTGAATTTTATTTATTAACCTTTCCCCGAAGATACCCCCAAAGAGTAGTAAAACTAGTGCAAATTCGGGATTTCTAGAAATATTTCTATGATCCCTCCTGATTATGGCATGTTTTAATCGTAAAAGCCCCGAGGGATAATAAAATATTAATGAGCTCTCGCCCAGGAATCCAACAATTTGGTGCAGTACACCTATAGGCCTACAAGATTTGATCTTGGAAACTGAACTTAACTTTGTCTCTAAGGGCGCCCCCTATTTCTACCAGTAATAAGGCGACGGCGAGAGCACTGTGTGACGGCACGACGCTACGCGACGGCAGGGCATCAGGACGCGACAGCACGACAGCAGGACGCGACGGCCTAACCCACACTGCATAAAAATCGCATAATGACAGGCGACGCGACGGCACGATGCGATGGCAAGACGGCACGACGCAATGTATTAAACACAGCATGAAGGTTATGAAAAAAGAGGCAACGCCACGACGCGATGGGACGACGCGACGGAGCCGTCGTGGCGTCGCTACTAGTTATAAAATTACAAAGGAAACAGTGTGATCAGTGCCGTGAAAGTGCATACTTGAGGAAGTCAAATGTAAAAAGAGTCAGCCTCTCGATATTACAAAGAGGATGAAAAAATGAAATGAAAAGTTGCAATATTTTGGGTCCATCCAATAGCCAATAGCACCAACAGCCCAGGTTGGACGTTGGCTCCATTTACACTACGACAGACGTCCAGGGTATAGAGACCTACATGCCAAAATTTTTTCACCTGTTATTTTCTCACATTTTTACCTAGTGGAGGAAGTTCAAATGTCGTTCACAAGTGTCTTGTGAAAGTGTTTAATAAAACCAAAATTGAGCTTTTCGGTCACAATGACCAGCCTATGTATATCCAAGGTGAAACATGGTATTGGGAAATGGGAATATTTTGTAGACAGTAGTCCAGGACCACCGTATGAGATGGTAGCACCGTGAAAGAAGACTGTTTAGAAGTTCTCCAAGGGAACCTGAAACAGTCATTTCGAAAGTTGAATCTCGGACGTCAATAGATCTTCCCAAAGGGCAACACCTCGAAGCACCCTTTTCTTCAAAAGTTGGTTGCTAGATTACTGCAGCAGAACATGGCTGATCTTTGGAATGGCCGACTGAAAGCCCAGATTTAAATCCAGTGGATAATTTGACGGAATTGTGACATAATTAAAAAAAATGACTGAGCTTTACAAATACTGCAGGAAGAATGTGATAAAAGAGCATCGTAAAAAGCTACGCTGTGAAAGAACTGAGCAATTTTTTGCCCACCGAGGGGTACCAAGTAAATCGCTTCACTGTTGGACAAAAAGAGAATAACATTAGATAAAAAAATGTCCATGTATCAGAAGAAACCAACGCTGTCACAGAAACATTCAATTTAAAATAGTATGGAAATGAAAGATGATGACTATTGTTGAGAAAACAGGTATGTCAACTGTACTGTGTTGAAGTGTATGTAAACTTTTGGGCATGACTTTATTTCTTTTAACCAGAACGGTATGTTTATTTGCTTTTGATTTTAAACTTACATTTCTTGGTCTGTTTAAGACAGACATGTTT